TAGTCTGGTATAAGGGGCGGGGCCTGAGGGTGAGTGGGGCTTGTGGTCTGGTGTAAGGGGCGGGGCCTGAGGGTGGGTGGGGCTTGTGGTCCTGGGGGTAGGTGGGGCCGGGAGGCTGGCCGCCCTCCCCAGCAAGGGTGATTTCCTCTTGGCCACTGGGATTTGGGTAGTGTCTCTGAGCCGCACTTTCTCTGTCCTCCCCAGAGGCAAGAACGCTTCGCCGAGAGGCCTGCCCTGCTCGAGCTGGAGAGATTCGTGAGTCGGGCTGGTGGGAGGGCGCCAGACGTGTCCCCAGACCTGAAACCCACCGGGGTCAGGATCGGGTGGGAGCTTGCCCACCCTGCCCCACCTTGCTGTGCTCTGATGCTGGCCGGCCCCCATCCCATCTGAACCCCGTCCTTCAGCCTCTCGCCCTCCCCCTCCCGACGTGTTCCAGGAGCGCCGGGCCCTGGAGCGGAAGGCCGCCGAGCTGGAGGAGGAGCTGAAGGTGAGTGCCAGCGGGGCTCGGGGCAGAGGGCGGAGGCCGGCCCGTGGAGCCCCGTGGCCTCCCTGAGGCCCAGTCGGACCTCTGCGCGACACCCGGTGGCTGCCTGCTGACGCCGTGCCATCCCGCAGGCCCTGTCGGACCTCCGGGCTGACAACCAGCGGCTCAAGGATGAGAACGCAGCCTTGATCCGCGTCATCAGCAAACTCTCCAAGTGACTGGAGGCCCCTCCCCTGCCCCTATTTATGCAGCTGCTTCCGCCACACGCACCCCTTCCCCCGTGTGAACACGAGTGACAGGGCTCCGGGGACGTCTCTGAGAAGCCATAATGCCCCTGGGGATGCGAGAGGAGAGCAGAGTCCCCGGGGGCCAAGGGGGGCTACCCGAGGCCCAGAGGGAGGTGGGAGGCCAAGGCAGGTAGGGGGACGTCGCTGAGAGGGGACTGGGGCTGGAGGCAGGACCAGAAGGGAACCGAGGACCAGGGAACACAAGGACCAGAAGCCAGGGACCAGACAGAGTAGCCGCCCCAGGGGTCCCCCACCTCCCGTGTGACTCCCCCTCGGCCACCCCCTCCCCTTCCTGAGCAGGGATTCAAGAATGTGCCAAGAGCCCTGCCGGCCGCAGCCGGGCGGGCCTGTATATACGGCCTGGGTTGGGTTTGTTCTGTTTTTTTTTCCTGAGGGCCACATCCATGTGCAATAGAGAGGGACGTCTTTTATTTTTGCTGCCCCCTCCCCACCCACTGCCCGGGGCAGGGGGAGAAGGTATTTTTGAGACAAAGGTTCAGGCATCGCCAATAAAGACGTGAAGTTGCCACCCAGTGACTGCTGTTCCGGTCCGAAGTGGGGGGCTTCCCGGTTCTGTGCTGCGGGGTTGTGGGCGTCAGACCAAGCCCCCGGCCTTCTGGGCTAGGCATTGAGGGGTGGGTGCGTCAGGAAGGGCACGGAGATGGACCCAAGGCCCCCAGCTCGGGCTGACACAAGCAAGGGCGACGAGAAGGGTGTCCTGAAGCCGGAGGAGGCCACACCAAACCAAACAAGGGCGGCAGCCAAAGCAAGGCAGCCCTCGCATCACGGGACGGTGGGGAGCAGGGCTGAGAGACGGGCGAGGACCCAGTGCCCTGAGGGAGCGGAAGGTTTCCGGCTGGGCTGCTGAACCGTGGTCAGGGAGCCTGGGGCGGGGCCTGGATGCTGGGATCCACTGGGATGCTGGGAGACAAGCCTGGAGGATGAGGGGAGGCTCCCGAGCAGTGCGTATGTGAGCTGGGCCGGGAGGGCTGCACAGGCGCTCAGCAGGTGGAGAAAGGGCCTCCAGCCCACGGAGACCACAAGCGCAAAACCCCAAGACTCGGGCAGCATGGGCTGGAGGCAAGGCCAGGAAGGAACCAAGGGCCGGAAGCCCGAGACCGGAGTAGCCACCCTGGGGTCCCCCATCTCACGTGATGCCAAGTTACCCGTCCCCTTCCCTAACGGGGATTTGAGGATGTGCCAGGAGCTCTGGGGGCCGCAGCCAAGTGGGTGTGTATATGTGGACTTGGCTTGGTTGGCTTGCTTTCCTGAGGCCCACATCCAAGCGGGTGTGGGAAAGATGCCGCCTTTTTTGCTGCTCAGGAGAAAGGAAACAGGAGGCTGGAAAGGCCCGGTAGCGGCCACACCACTCCGGGCCTTGAATGCCAGGAAACGGAAGGGTTTCGAGCAGTGGAGGGACTGGGACACCGGGTATGCAAAGACCCCTGTGGGGCGGACTGGGGGCCGAGAAGGTCAGGAGGAAGCCTGGGTTGGGGCCCTGGGGATGGAGAGAAGGGAGCTGAGAGAAACTACCAAAGACGGTGAGGTCCTCTCCCAGACAGGCTTGTGACTGGGGCGAGCGTGCAGGTTCCCGGGCCCTCTGGCTGCCCGGTAGGTAGAGAGGTGAAAGTAGTTGACAGGCAGCTGCGAGGCGGCTGTTTATAGACTGGACAGCATACTCCACCGCACGAGGCTCCCGAGTGCGCCCACTACCGGGCACGAACTGCAAGCATTCTCCGTAAATTGCCTCCACGCCCCGCCCCCCGCCGCTCCCGGCCAATCCGCGAGCTCAGGCGGGCCTCCGGCGAGGGCAGGTCCATGTGTCCGCTGGGGTTGGGGGAAGGCCATCTCCTTGGGTGGGGAGAGTTGGAAGAGTCCATCCTCCCACAGGGCGCGAGGAAATCCGCTGCCCTGAAACTTTCTGCAGCGGGTCAGATGACCTCCGTTTCCGCCTCGCCTTCCACCTTCTTCTTTTGCTTTTCCATCACCGCCTCCAGTTCTGACACTTTTTCCGAGTCCTGCAGGGCGGGAGTGGCTATTAGGAACCCGGTGCCCGGGCCCCCAGCTCCCTCCTCGCCTGGGCTCAGGGAAGCATGCGGCCGTCCGCTCACCTCCAGCAGCGCGCGCTGCACCATGACCTGGCTGTACACGCGCGCCCCCTCCTCCGGGCTCACAGCCCGGAACTCCTCCTTCTGCAGCGAGAAAAGCTGCGCACCGTTCAGCACGCCCAGAGCGTCCACCGTGCTGAGGAGGCGCAGTGGGGTGCTGTCAGGAAGGCTAGCCATTCACAGCTTCAGCCTCTCCAGCCCCCGCCAATCACATCACGCCTGCTAGCCATTTGTCCAATCAGCAGAACTCTAGCCATCGAGGGCGAGACACTATGGAAGTCTGGACAGGATCGGAAAGCCCCCTTTCCCACCCACCAATCACAGAGCACCCTACTTCAGGGCGGGGCCAGGCTTCCCTGGGGACTCCAACCTGAACCTGAGAAAACCAAAGCCAATCACGGCTTGTTGCAACAGGACAGACGCTCGCTTTGGACCAATCCCGGGTTCCTGTGTCTTGCCACGTCCTCCCTGGGCCAATCAGAACGCTCGAATCTCACTGCCCTCACAACCAGCGAGCTGGCGCTGGCACCACTCACCTGGAACTAAAGCCCTTGGCCTGCAACCAGGCGCGGACTTCCGAGGCATCTGAGCGGGGACTGAGCTGTGACTCTTGCGCGCGGGGGCCCGAGGCGGCGCGGCTGGGGCCCGAGCGGCCCTGAGCCAGGCGCGCCTGCAGCTCCTCGTTGATACTGAGCATCTGGGAGAATTTCTCTGCGGGCGAAAAATCCGGAGGGTGGGGGCTCAGGGGCTCCGACACCCCGGAGACAAGGGCCCACGTGCTGCTTCTGAGCGTTGGTTTCCCCGGAGTGCCTCCACCACTCACCCTTTTCGCTGGGGTCCAAGTTGTTGATACCATCGCAGCCGTCCCAGGGGGGTCGACCTAATGCCGGGACCGGGGCTGGGGCCGGAAGCGTGGTGCTCGGCTTCGGCAGGCCAAGGATGAGCCCCGGCCCGTCTTCCTTCTGGAGAGAAACCTGTTGAGTCCCCAGGCACCTCCTACAGACCTAGCCCCCAGCCCCTCCAAGACCGGAGTCGCTCGCCCCCGCTCACCACGTTGTGCGCAGGGCTTCGGCACCCCTGGGGTCCTGAGTGGGGTGTCAGGATATTATACGGCACATAGCCCTCCTGTCCCTGCTGGTCTCGAACTTTCCACCACTTGCGGCTGCTATCCAGGACCTGGGGACAGGGGCAGAGCTCAGAGCCTGGGTTTCTGGCCCGGGCTAGGTTTCCTCCTGCCCACCAGCCCTCTAACCTCCAGTACATCCCGATGCTGGACCGACAGCTCGCTGCTATTGCGGCCTTGGAAGCTGTAATTACACAGGACCCACTTGCGCCCCACCACCGCCGGCGTCGGCACTGGCGCCGGCCCGGGCTCCAGCCGAGGCTCAGCTTCTAACTCTGCCTCCTGTTGACTGAGGACAGGGTGGAGGGTAAGGAGGCAGTCAGGGCCCCTGCTCTGGGCTGCAGGGTGCCAGTGTGAGCTGGTTAGAGCCAAGCAGGATGCGAAGCGGGGGCCTGTGTTAATACTGTTAATAAAACCCCAGCTGCCATGGAGTCGCGTCCAACCCATAGCGACCCCGTGTGTGTGCAAGAGGAACTGTGCACATGAGAGTTTCAATGGCAGATTTTTTTGGGGGAAGTGGCTTTCCAGGACTTTCTATCCAAGGCACCTTTGGATGTATTTGAACTTCCAACCTTTTGGTTAGCGACCAAGTACATTAACCCTTTGCAGTACCCAGCAACTCCTACTGTAAACAGAGACTGGAAATTGGAATGCTAGCCTGAACTTATTTGTACTCGACTTGCTCTCCCACCAGCCATCTGTCAGTTTGTGGTCCTCCGCATGCCTTGAGTGTTGCTGGAAGCTATGCCCCTGGCATTTTAAACACCAGCAGGGTTCCCCTTGGTGGACAGGTTTCCGCAGAGCTTCCAGAGTAAGACCAGGAAGAATGACCTGTGGATCTACTTCTGAAAACCAGCCAATGAAAACCCTATGGATCACACAGAATACAGTCTGACACACTGCTCATAGACAAGCCCACTCAGCTGGAAGGAACTCACAATGGAGTGCACTCACCCGTGGGCTCAAGTAACACTGGGCAAGCATTGGGGCCCACCCTACAGCAGCTGACCAACAGTAAGTTGCCTGGTGCAGTGCTCGAGCACAGGATGTGGAGAGGACCATCACCCCCATTTTACGGATGGGAAAACAGGCTCAAGTCACTTGCCCCAGGCCACGCAGCTAAACCAGCTGTTATTTATTGAGCATCTACTATGCGCCAGGCTCCTGCACAGTGAGAATTAATAAGCATAATAAAAACAATAGCAAACACTTACATAGCACCTACTGCATGCCAGGCAATGTTCACAGTCTGTTCTATACATTAGAAAAAAAAAAAATCCACAGCCATTGAGTGGATTCTGACTCACAGCGCCCCTAGAGGACAGAGTGGAACTGCACCACAGGGTCTCCAAGGCTGTCAATCTTCACAGAAGCAAAGCCCAAACCACACCCACTGCTGTGGAGTCCATTCTGACCCACAGCGCCCCTAGAGGACAGAGTGGAACTGCACCACAGGGTCTCCAAGGCTGTCAATCTTCACAGAAGCAAAGCCCAAACCACACCCACTGCCTGGAGTCTATTCTGACCCACAGCGCCCCTAGAGGACAGAGTAGAATTGCCCCACCGGGTTTCCAAGCCTGTCAATCTTGACAGAAGCCGACCGCCTCATTTCTCCTGAGGAGTGGCGGGTGGGTTTGAAGCACCAGCCTTCTGACTAGCAACTGAAAGCTTTAACCCCTGTGCCACCAGAGCTCTTGACTGGATGTTCACAGCACCCCTGTGAGGAGGGTGCCAGGATCATATTCTTTTACAGGAGAAAGAGCTGGGACAGAGGGAGGACAAATGGCTTGCCAAGGTCACAGAGCAAGAAAGAAGCCGGGCTGGCCTGGGCCCGAGGCAGGCTGGCCGGGAGTTCGTGCCCAGACCACTCAAGCTGCCCCATGCATCCAGCTAGGCTTGAACTGGAGCTCCGCCGTGGCCCTGATCTCTTAACGGTGAGCCTGCAGGATCCGTAGGTCCCTTATCCTTCCAGGGAGGGGTTACAGTTATTCCCACCTCCCCTGCACAGCACTGGCGGCTCAGGGGTGAGCTAAAGGCTGGGGGTGTCAAGTGCAAGATTCAGATGCATGACGAGCAGAGGGGGTTCCGTGCCACCAGGCAGCTGGGTGTAGGGGACAGAATTTCTTGGAGCCCCAGTAAGAGTGGCTCAGCATGGATCAGACCTACCTGTGCAGGTGAGAGGGGGGTCTTCAGGGCCACGGTGCCCCCTGTGTGGGGCTGCTACTGACGTCCTGCTGCGACCACGCCTCCCGGGCCCTCAGCCAGACCCCCCTTCTTTTTCTCCAGCTCTGTGGCTTGTTTTGCTTCTTAGCTCACATTGCTTCCCTCCAGTACACCCTCTACTTGCTCAAGGACCCTAGACTCCTGGCCTCTAGCCCCTCCAGCCCCCAGAGACCCAGGGGGCCAGGTCTCAAGCTTTAATGGCCTTCAATCTTTGAATCCTTAAAGGCAGCAGGGCTGACACTCAACAGACCCACTGTCGTGGAGTCCATTCTGACCCACAGCGCCCCTAGAGGACAGAGTGGAACTGCCCACAGGGTCTCCAGGGCTGTCAATCTTCACAGAAGCAAAGCCCAAACCACACCCACTGCTGAGTCTATTCTGACCCACAGCGCCCCTAGAGGACAGAGTGGAACTTCCCACAGG